TAATTTACGCTTACCAAATTTCAGCTAAAAATTCAATCATTAAGGCAGTTAAATAAATGTTTGAAGATAACTGCACAGTTATACAACGCAGTATATTTCAGAAAATCATTTGACTGCCTTCCCGGTTGAACTTTTACCTGAAATTTGGTATGGGTAAACTAGGCTTAATGAATAAGATGCTAAAAAAAATCATCAAAAAGATCCACCGGTAACCACTCCGAATGGTGACGTCCAGACATAGCCTCCTATAAAAGGAGTGATTTGCACTTTTTCGATTAGTTCGAGTGCTTATTTGCACCTTTTCCCTTTATTTATTTTGGACAACATTTATTTTACCTCTAGTTGTTGGGCATGTAAGTTGCAAATATTCAAAGATTGTTTCATACTTGATCTCGAGTTCGAACTCGAACTTTCGAGCTAATCGAACTTGTAACTTTTGAGTTGACGAACCAAAATTATCGAGCCAAATCGAGCTGTGGCATTATTTGCTAGTCGATTTCGAGCTCGAGCTCGAGCCTACATAGATTCAAACTCGGCTCTGCTCGGCTCATTTGCACTCGTAGGAATGTGTCTAGATGCAAAAGTTCTAGCTTATAGAATAAAAAACATTCAAAAAATTATAACAATAGCACTATGTCTATTGAAACATAATTAATGCCCTCAGATCATTTATTCTATTTATATATAAGAAAGCAAATAGTTCATTAAAATACTATTTTCCCTTACTAAAGTTTACGTGTTCTCCTTCTCAAGTTTTTTTCCTTTCATACATTTCTACCACGTGGCTTGCTAATTTGTTTCCGTGCGGCTCACCACTTTTTTGAAGCGTTGGTCAGTAACTACCGAGTATCTCTTATTAGAGATGCAAATGATGGGCCCAAGTAATAAAAAAAAACCTTTTTCTTCAAAGTATTATAACTCTTTTATTTTTACTTCAATTATTACAAACAATATATCAAAATTCATGATTTTTTATACCCATTCAAATGACACCAATATCACATATATAATTTTAAAAAAATGGAGGTAGAGTGTAGATTATTTGCTTCACATGCAAATCTGGAAAATATAATTAGAAGCATACTCTAATTTTTACTTTTTGGTGGATAACCATGTCAATTCTACTATTTATAAACCGTCACAATTTATTAAAAAAAGTGAAATTTTAATAAAAAAAACTTCATTACACATGCTTTATTTACTCAAATTGGCTTAATTGGCTGAAATTGTCGAAAATGACAATTTTACCTATATTTCATATAATGTTTTCTTTATTTCAATAATAAACTACTCCCTTCATTCCTTTTTATTTTAGCCAAATTTGAATTTTCAAATTTGGCTAAATCAGCCTTTAAAATAAAGTTAAAGTGTGAGCATACCTGAAACATACGGTTCACTAAGATATGAACACATTCAAATTGACTATTATGATATTTATATCAAAATAGATATTTATGATAGTTAAAAAACACTATTATGTTAATATCTTTAAGATATGAATACAATTCAATTTCATGGTCATATGCGCATTTTTGTTCATCCATTTAACCAGTATTCAAGTGACAACGATAACCTTGACTCGGTGTTGTTAACAAAAAAATTAAAGAATCAATATTCACATCTTAAACGCAAGCAAAAAAAATATGTATGCCGAATGAAAAGATTTGAAGTCTGCAAAATTTGTTTCACGAATTTCTATTTATGTACTTCTATTAGAAAATAGTAGTCTCGGTAAATTACACTTTTAAGATAATAAATTCAAACGTGTCAACCTCTCAAAAAATCACTCCCTTTTTATTTTTACACCACGTGGCGTCTTTCTACTTCAAAAGGGTTTAATCACCCGGAGATGCAATTGGTGGGGTCCAAGACAAAGAAAACCTTTTTTTTAATTGAGCATAATAATTTCTCTCTCATATATAGTATTTTTAGGTATGAGGTAATCCATCTAACAATTGAACATGGGAGCTTTATCTCGCATATGTAAGGGTTTTAGGTATACGAAGATAGACTTGCTAATAATCTAGCGGAAAATTTTTATCACTCATATATAGTGCTTTTAGATATTAAAAGATATGATTGCTAACAATTGAGCAGAGGAGTTGAGTGTGAGAATTTTCACTCTCATGTAATGTTTTTAGGTATTAGAAAACAAGTTTGCTAACAATTGAACAACATATCTTTCTCTCTCATATTTAGTTTTTTTAAGTACTATAAGATAAGAAGATTTCCAATATTTCATATTAAAATATACTACTCCCTCCGTCCCAAATTAACTTCCCACTTGGATTTCACACATATTAAGGAAATAAATTTACCGATGGGTAAATTTTACTGTTCTGACAATGTTTCGACACTGTTTGACACTGTTTTTTTTTTTGTTTTTTTTCACTGTTTGACACTGTTTTAATGTAGATTTGTTGCCAAATAAGGACGTGGGAAGTTAATATCGGGACTGCCCGAAAAGGAAAATGAGTGGTTAATTTCAGAGCAGAGTTAGTATATATCCAAATTCATATTTTATTCAATTTTATAAATATATTAAAATAGATATTTAGGTATAAGAAGATAATTCAGCTAACAGTTAAGTGGGATATTTTTGTTTCTCATTTGTATTGCTATTAGGTATAATAATAAGAAGCTAATAAAATAAGTTCGCTTAAATTGAGTAGGGGAATTTTATCTCTGATATGTAGTGTTTTTTAGTGTAAGGTAGGATAAACCAATTAACAATTGAGTGAGAGAATTTTATCTCTCATATATAGTGCATTTAGACATAACAAAGATTAAGGCATAAGCAGTGCTTTTAAGTACTTCCTGCGTTCTTTAATTCTTGCAACAGTGTGATTTTTGCACTATTCACAGACCTTATTTTGATCACGATTTTCTATTAATATACATAATCAAATTATTACGTATAAAATGTTATTAAATTCCTATCAATGTGAATTTCCAAAATATCAATTTTTTATAAAGTTTACTAATACATAATTAAATACATTTACACTCAAAGTTGTGCGTTGGCAAACGTGAAAGTCAAACTGTTGCAAGAATTAAAGAACGGAGGATAGTATATATAAGATAATGCAACTAACAGTTTTATCTCTAGCGTATATACTCATTTTGGGTATAAGACAAGCTGGCTAACAATTGAGTGAGATAAGTTTCTCACTTATATGTATTGCTTTTAGTTATTAGAAGATAAGTTTACAAACAATTGAGTGAAATATCTTTATCTTTCATATATAGTACTTTTAAGTATGAGATAAGTTGGCTAACAATTGAGCAGGATACTTTATCTCTCTAATATATATGTAATGCTTTTAGGTATGAGATGAGAGATAAGAAGTCTAACAATTGAGCGGGACAACTTTCTCTCTCATACATAAGGGTTAGTTATAAGAAGATAATCTTGCTAATAACTGAGCGGAAGAAATTTCTCTCTCATATGTAATGTTTTAGGTATTAAAAGAAAAGATTGCTAACAAATGAGCAGGGAAATTGAGCGGAAGAATTTTCTTTCTCATATGGAGTGCTTTTAGGTATTAGAATTACAAGATGAGATTGCTAACAAATGAGCGGGGAAATTAAGCGGGAGAATTTTCTCTCTCATATGGAGTGCTTTTAGGTATTAGAATATAAGCTTGCTAACAATTAAGCGGGATGACTTTCTCCCTCAAATGTAGTTCTTTTAAGTATATGTAGTGATTTTAGGTACAATAAAGAAGCTAAGAAAACAAGTTTGATAACAATTGAGTAGGACAACTTTCTCTCTCATATGTAGTTCTTTTTAAGTATAAGATAATCCGGCTAACAGTTGAGCGGGAAAGTCTTCTCTTCCATATATAGTGCTTTTAGGTATAACATAAGCCGACTAACAAATAATTGAACAACCGAATCTTCGCACTCATATGTAATCTTTTTAGATATAACAAGATAAGCTTGCTAATAGTTGAGCAGAGGAATTTTCGCTCTCATATGTAGTACTTTTAGGTATTAGAAGATAGACTTGCTAACAATTGAGCGGGAGAATTATCATATAGGTAGTTCTTTTAGGTATAAGATAAGTCGGATAATAATTAAGGAGTAAAATTTTCTCCCTCATACGTAGTCCTTTTAGATATAAGAAGATGAGACAATCTGACTAACACTTAAGTGATATAATTTTCTCTCATATGTAGTTGTTTTAGGTATAAAGTAAGCGGGCTAAGAATTGAGCGAGACAATTTCTTTTTCATATATTAGCAGTGATTTACTAATGAGTAACAAGTTCTTATTTAACTAATATTCACTTAAACTTTATGTCATTCACTTATTGTACTCATTGTTTTAAAATAGTATTTAAATTTAAAATTAATAAAAAGCAAACTCTAATGAGTGGTGTCAATTGATTTTTCCTAATATACTATTCATTGAATATATATTGTACGGGCTTATACTTTATGGTATTAGCGTATTGTACTACGGAGTTTTATTTTTCGAAAATGTAGAATCCTAAAAGGCTATTTTTATTCTAATACTCCCTCCGTCCCGAAAAGGTTGGTCAAATTTCCTCTTTTGGATGTTCCAAAAAGATTTGACATTTCCATTTAAAGTAATGAATATGTTGCTAAAATTAATTTTCTCTTCTCTATACAAATTTCAACCACACAATTTTTACTTTATTAATCCAAGTGAAAGTCAACTTTGGCCAACCTTTTCGGAACGGAGGGAGTATTTAATTAGTTCGTGAGTAAAGATATATGCACCAACCGCTCTTTCTCGTGCGTTAGATGTACACAGTCTTACCTCTGTACTAAAACACATCTGAAATGTTTCCGGATGATCCATGATGAAAATCACATCAAGAATTGCATAAACTGACTGTTTCTTCAGAACAAAGAAGCACAAACCACTTAATTGTATTCTAGAGGTCAAAAAATAGTGAATCTTTGGACTCATATTTAGCTCCTAAAGTAAAGATTAAAATAGTGAGTATTGTTTTATACAGAATTATGCATAGAAAAGAGAAATTCTGGGAGTGGAAAATTTCATCCCATTACATAAATCATAGAGATTTTGGATCCCTTGGTCTATGCATTTATGTGTATTCAGTTGGACCACATATGCATGATGCATCTAAAAGACGCATCAGAGTTGAATATTGAACAAGTGAAATCGGAAGGTAATGCATTTTTGGTTCCCTTCTAATTTGGGGTTCGTTTCCGGATGCTTGTGCGTTGAGCCTTTGACAGTCCGGAGATGCTGGCCGATGAGGCAAAATCCTTGCTAGGGTTTTCCCCAGATTGTCGCCCCTCTTCATCTCAGGTAGCTCATTAAATTTGTCTGTTTCTGCGGCTTTATCCATTCATTAGTTGAACGTTAGTCACATCATGCTTGCCATGTCTATCTATTTCTTATTTGATCCCATATCTACGAGTTACGTTTGCACTTCCTGATATGTTTTCATTTCATGTAATCTGTTAAATTTTTCCTTGAATTGAGAATTGAGTTAATCTTAGTTCACTCACTACTCAGACTTAAGGGTCCGTTTGAAAGTTGAAAATGCAAAGGGAAGAAATAAAGGGCAAATTATAGAAGAATTATGTCTAATGCATTTTTTCAAGTGTATTTCTATCACAAAGTACTCCTTATATAAATTCTAAAAAATATTAACAAGTTGAAAAGAAATTGAAACATTAATTATCTTTCATTTACCTTTGAGTTCCGTGCTAAAAGCATCATCATCATCACCTCAGTGCCGCAAAGGCTCCCACATACGGTGGGGTAAGAGGGTCCTATGTACGCAGTCTTACCCTTGTACTAAAGCACAAAGAGATTGTTTCCGGATGACCCATAGTGAAAATTGTGTCACAAATTGCATTGACCGACTGTTGTTGCATAATAAAGAAACGCAGATAGTTTAGTGAGTCATTTTGCTTTATTCCATCATATTCCCAAGCCAAAAAATAGTGAATCTTTGGCTCCATTGCAAATGATGGAAAATTCCGTGCTAAAAGCATAAATAGTAAAATAACTTTCCTTAGCATTTTCTTTACCTTCCCCAGCATTTTGTGGGATCCAAACATTTACTAAAGATTTGATTTCCTGCTCTTATTCTCTGATATACAAGCTGAAAGCGCTATAATGTAAATCTGTGATCTAAGTGTTTTGCAGTTTACACACACAAACAAAAATGAGAGGGATCAGGGATGTAGAGATAATGTTTCTTACTTCTTGTGACAAATGTATGGTCAGGTTAAAACTGCTTATAGAACCAAGGTATGGGAAACTCACCCCGATCGCTTTCCTGCTCAGGAAAAATCACGTGCAGAGTATAAGTTCAAGATGGTGAGCATAATCTGCTATTAGTCTTTCATGCACTTGCCGAAGTATGGTTATGCATATTTATTATCCTTTTCCTGCTTTCGGTTTTATAGTTCTTATGAAATGAGTGCATTGGTGCAGATCTCAGAAGCATACAGTTGCTTACGCTCTGGTATTTCTCTCTTCTACACTTTCACATCTCATATATTTTGTTGCGACAATTTACCATTCCCTTCCCAACGATTCATCAAGTAATCAATTGTTGATTTTATGGCCTTCAAGTGGTGGTGGAGGGGAATACCTCCTAGGCGTCTACCCCCACTGAGATCATTTAGAGAGCAGGATTTCACATTTTTATTTCAAATTAAGTGCAACTGTAAGATTTTGTTTAATTATAAAGGATTCATATTTATAAAGGATTTTGTTTAAATTATAAATGGTTCATATTCACAATGGATTTTGTTTAAATGATAAAGGATTCATAGTCAAAGTTTTGAATGTGGTTCTAACTTTCCATTGCATGTGAGGTTCTACTTTTATTGATCAGCAATGGGATGGTGGATTTTTGTATCGATGTTCTGCACTATGTGACCTCCCACTACTCACTATGTAATAATGTACTCGCCATATTTAATGAAATAAGATGTTGCCAACTTGCCATTGCTTTTTGGGCTTGTTTGGTTCAAGGGTTTCGGAGGTTGAGGTGGGGAGGGGTGTATTTATTTTACATTAATTTCTATGTTAAGCTGGTTCAAAATAAAGTGGAGATAAAATATTATACCGATACAAACAATCTAACCATTCTTATGGCTATTTCTTGTTTACAACTAATAAATAAAGATAAATTAATGAAATAAAAATCACTCTTCATTTCCCTAATGTACAATTTGCTTCTCGTATCGACGAATTAGAAGAGATGTCAACCGGCAACCGTATCTGGAAACAACGATTAGTGAATATTGGTACTGTCACTGCACAGCAAGCAAAGGATTGGGGATTCAGTTGTGTAATGTTGAGAGGTTCAGGGGTATGCTGGGATTTGCGAAAAGCAGCACCTTACGATGTTCATGACCAATTGGATCCTGACGTACCAGTAGGTACCAAAGGAAATCGCTATGATCGTTACTGTATTCGTATCGAAGAGATGCGACAAAGTGTTCGGATCATTGTGCAATGTCTTAATCAAATGCTTAGTGGCATGATCAAATCCGATGATCGTAAGCTGTGTCCTCCATCACGATCTCGAATGAAACTATCCATGGAATCGTGCGCCGTGTGAAACGTAGATCATCGCCGTTCTTAACACTACTAAAATTTACAGGTGCAAGAGTACAAAACTCCTCACGTGCGGACACATCATACTCATATGTTGTGCGGACTGGAGTTCCAAGAATGCGCGGTGGGAGGGGGAAGCAGCTACTGGTTGGGCTTCCATTCCTCTTGATCATCTTAAGTACATTTTCACTGGCGGGATCAAGTGTGGCAAGGTGAATGATTGTGGGCATTATTTGTATACAGATCCCTTAATAATAATAGTAATATTGGGGTTGGAGGCAGTGGCAGAGCCACTCTAGTGCAAGGGTGTCCATGTGAACACCTAGAAATTCGGGGAAAAAAAGGAAAGATACATATGTAAAAGTAGTGTAATAATTTATTTTACTTTATTTATATAATATTTCTTGCTTTTTGATCTATTAATTACAGTGATTTTTTGGATAAAATGTAGGATTTTTGCATAAAAAATACTCCCTCCGTCCCATTGGACTTTACCAGCTTTCCCTTTTTGGTTGTCCCAACAAACTTTTCCACTTTCCTATTAAAGCAACTAATTTGTGGTTCTGCACATTTCTTTCTCCTCTACACAAATTTCAACCACACAGTTTTTACTATTTTTATTTCTTACCTACTTTGCACTTGGCAAAGTCTCCGGGACAGAGGTAGTATTATTTTTCAAAACCTTTATTGTAAATTTTGCACATCCACTACGTAGATGTTAAATCCGCCAGTGTTTGTAGGATGAAACTTGTATGTGTCATTGATTTGCATCTATTGTCTTCTTACATCAATCAGGGCTTACAGAAAGGAAAAGCAGGCTCATCCTTCTCACAACCCTTTTCTTCCTTGATCAAGCAGCATCCGGAGGTGGCATATCTATGTATAGAATATACATCGACAAATAATAGACATGGTTTTGATTGACTATATGTTTGACTGCATTGTGGGTCAAATTGATCTATGTATACATATATATATATATATATATATATATATATATATATATATATATATATATATATATATTATATAGTAATGATAATGTAGGGAATGGTGAGTAATGAGGATGGAATTACTCATGCTTTTCTATAATCAAGTTTCCAATCATTGAGGATTGGAATAAAATCTCCATTATGTACACTTCTCCTAACCATTCCCTGCAAGTGTCACTATTCTTTATTATAGCAGAAAGGAAAATAATCTTTTTTTCATGTCTTTGATTAGCTCATTCACAGAAAGATGTATATCTTCTGTTTTTACAAGAGAACATTTTGAGTTCAATTGTGAGTTCCTGAGTTCATACTCAACTACAGTTATGCTTCAGAAGACGTGGCAGTGTAAGCCATTTTTATGTGTCCAGGATTTTTTTAAACAGATAAAATAGCACATTCCTATTGCAAATTGAAATTGAGAAAGTTTGGTTACAACAAAGCAGGTAAAATGCAATGTTTGTAATTTGGAAAATGGTTATGAAAGAAAGTAGGGAGGAAATTTGGAATGAAAGAAAACTATATGGTTCAAAATAAATGAATTTATTTAACATTTGTTGATATATATTTCTTTTTAAAAATACAAGTCTTAGATGCGTAGAGTGTTGGGCGGTGAAGCAATGTCACATTCAAAAGATGAGTGTGACAGAGATGCATATGTTGCGTTGGATGTGTAGATATATCAGAAAAGATCGCTAGAAAATGAGATTATCAGACAAAAGGTAGGAGTAACACCTATAAAAGATAAGATGAAGAAGTCTCGTTTGCGGTGGTTTGGGCATGTGTGTAGAAGACCGAGTGATGCACATGTTAAATGACTTGAGGGGTGGGGAAAAGAGAGGGGGGAAGACCCAAACAAACTTGGATTAGAGGAATCAGAACTGATATGTGTCTTCTACCTTTCCTCCCTTTTTTCTTTTATCGTTCATCTTCTTTATCATTTTATATTCTTATGTTATTCTCTAAATATTACTCCCTCCGTCCCGCTAACAATGAGACAAGAGAGAGTGTCACGCAAATTAATAAAAAGTGTTTTATGTGGTTGATATTAAATTGATAAAGTAAGAATAAAGTAAGAATGATTTAGAGTCACACAAACTTTACCAAATTTGGTATGGGACAATCTTAATGGGACAGATCGATAAGGTAAAATAATACAATCATAGCGGGACGGAGGTAGTACTAAATTAAAGCTAATTTCCAAAAATGTGACCACAATTATATTTAGACAAAATCACAAAAATGTGACTAAAACGAAGTGACACCCAAATATTTATGTCACTGTACCATTTTCATGTCACTTTTCGATGTCACTGCCGACATCGCCATGTCACTATCGTCGTCATCGCTCGTGTCATTACCGCCGCCGGTCACAGTGACACTATCACAGTGACATCTTCACGGTGACACGCAATCTCGGACGACTTTTCCCCCACTGCCACTGCCATCTATCACTGCCCCACCCATCCACAAGCCTCAACACCCCAAACACAGCCCCTATCCAACCCCAACCCCTGACCTTTCCCCAGCCACCTCTGGTCCCCAATCCGCCCAACCACGACCAAGCCACCATTTTCAGTTTTCCACCATTCAAGTCGTCGCATCAAGCCACCGCCCCATAAATCCTACACGCCGCCCCTATAGACAAACTCTAGGCCAAAGGAATGGGGCTAAGGGCTAAACAATTTTAGGCCAACAACTATAGGATGAGCGTTAAGGCGCGTCGCCATTGGGGGGCACACGGTATTGCGTCGGGTTTCATTGGACGTCAGTAGCAGAAGGGTTTCCGTCGGGATTTGATTTGATGCTAAAAATCCAAAGATTTTTGTTGGTCCTTTCAAGGATTTAAGCAACGAATCAAGCCTCAATTCATGATTTAGGGAATTTAATTGGTAGAAGGATTTCAACGAACCAGCAAGATGATTTCAAGGAAGATGGCACTGTTTGCTAGGACCTGCTCGATGGAGAAGACGGAGCAAAGAGTCGTACCTGGGGAAATAAAATGGTCACTTTTTAGGAAAAGAGAAAATAGTACTCTCTCAGTTCCCTAATATTGGTACGCAAGGGAGTGATGTGGTTTTAAAAAAAATAGAATTAGGTGGTTGGTAATGAGTTGATAAAGTGAAAATAAAGTAAGAATGAATTAGAGTCACACAAATGTTACCAAATATGGTATGAGACAATAATAAAGGGACATCCAAAAATGGAAAATGAGATAATTATAGGGGGATGAAGGGAGTAATATTTTTGGAATTAGAAACTTGAAGAGTAATATTAGTGTCATTCTTTCTTATTTTTATCTTTTAGCTTTTTTATGCCCTTTTATTTTTTTTTCTTTTATCTTTCTTATGTTATTATTATGTTATATTTATTTATCTTTGTTTTACTCGTTTTATCTAACTTTTTTTCTTCCCTTTCTTGTCCGTCTGTCACTCTGTCCATGATAGAAACCTCCAAATATTCCAGACAATTACATAAAATTAACGAGAAATCAACTGAAAATTTATTGATGAAAGTGATCGATTACAGGAGAAGACACCGGCCGAAGCCCCAAAAGATAGAGATGTTTAGTCTCCGATCTTTCCCAGTCCCAAGACTAATCGTCTAAAAGCCCCCCTCTAACTCCCTTACCCATCTATTTATACTAGGGTACTCAGACCCTTATTACTAATATTATTATTATTACTCCTATTATTAGTCTAATATGAGTGGGTTCCTATCGGTCCGTCTTCTCTGTTTGGCGTCGATATCATAGGTCAAATGCTTGGATGTTGTTGATTAATGTATAAAAAATCAACATTTCAGAGATGGTAAACTGTAACTATTTCTCATTTTGCTTTAACATGGGAGTGCATATAAACAAATAAATAAGAGCCTAGTGAGGCCGTGAGAGTAGGAAGATATGAGTAATCTAAAGTACAGCAGGTAAATGGAGTGTCTTCATTTAGCTCACATTGATTGAAATTTTACAACAAATCACAGTATCAAGAGGAAAGCTAAGACACTTGGCAATTACACTAAAGGAAAATAGAAAATTAGCAAAAAAAGGTGTACAGATAGTTGGCCGACCTCAATTCTTGTTTTAACTATATCAACCCAGCAAACAAAACAAAGCTTGCCGCAACACCCCGGTAATCGGTCAAGAAGAGTAGCCACCTCCAAGTTGGCTTCGCCCAAGATGAGAGATTCTATTTGAAGAAATCAATGGTGCTTCTTCATCCGACATCAAATCTTGAGACCCATTCCTTGTTCCACTACTGTTAACAACATCATCTGGTACGAACAGATCAGAGGACTTCTTCTCCATCTTAAGCTCCTGTGTGATATAAATCGGGGGAAAATAAGAATAACTACAAACTTTGAAGGAAACAATAAGCTTCTTATAGTATCGATTCAGGCAAAATATATAAAACCAAAGAGGTTCAATAGCCTCATTCATACTTTACATGTTCTGTCCACAATACTTGCCATAGGAAGTTGGGATGCTCGGGCATCCTTTACCTTCAAATAATTGTACATCACAACACCACATAATGCTGAAGAAATACAAAACCGATGTTAATACTTGATACAACAAATATTAATTGAACAGGTGATTAATCAACATCAGTCTTTGTCCTAAGGTTATGTTCGGAATCCAGAAAATGGTAAGCAGGAAGAAATATTTTTGAATTTGTTTTTTTCTTTAAAAAGTGAGATAAAAAATGAAGTTTTATTAGAAATCTTTAGGAGTTTATATAATTAGATTTCTTAGTGTTTATATGACAGGAATATATATAATGAGTTCCAAGTTCCAACAAATATCTAAAATTGATTTAATTAGTCTGATTTGCTTTCTCCCTAATACTCTTTCCTTCTTATTCTCTTCCTCTAACATTCTGACGGGCCCAAAGAGGAAAACAGAGACTCCCTTATCTGGGAAACAATGATATGGGATGAGAATTGCATACCTATGGCATATCCTATGATATTAAGTTTTGTGATTGTTGACTCAGGGAAAACAACAGTTGATAGGGCAATAAGAATCCAGTCTTTTAAGACGCCTGCAACTCTGATGGTCACAGCACCAGTTCTTCCAATCACCAAGAATATTGAGAAATTCAGAGCTAAGGCACACAGTGCATTTGAAAAGAAAATCCAGAAGTTGAACTGAATTTGTGTGACCTCCATTCCAGGCTTCTCCAAAAGGTACCATGGAATAAATAGGAACACAAAGCTGCATATAGTGACATCCGATGATAAGTATCCCATTATAGTTACAGACTTCCAAAATTATAGCTCCAGGCTTCCATCCTTTATTAGTAGAGCATTACTATTCACAAATTTCTGCTCCAGACTTCCAAAATAAGAGCATTAATGCTCTTAATTTTTTTAATATATTAAGTGCCATATATATTTCAAAAATTCATGCCAATTCAGATAGTAGGAACTAATTTGTGCTATAGACTAGGCAAATAGCAAAATGAGATGTGCCAGCCCACAAAATTGAAAGATGAATACAAACTGGGCAAACTCTGCCATGTATATTTCTCAAATGTATATGTCAATTCAGAAAGTGGTAACAATTTTGTGCTACACATTAGGAAAATAGCAAATTCATGTGTGACGGTCCATAAAATTGAGAGATGAATACCTGCATGGTGCAATGTAATACAAGCTGGTGACAGGATTCAGAGTTAAACCCTTCTTCTGGAGAAGAACTTGAGTTAAAACAAGCCTAAGAGCCTCAGCAAATATCCCAGTCACTTGGTAAACTGTGCCCACAACATTGAAGTGAATTTCCCCATAGGAGGACACAACAACCCCAATGCTGACCAATACCATGTTCAAGAACACGTCGCATCTCAATTTGTCTGTTCCACAAACCACTGCCACAACAAATGTTGCGACTGGCACTGTATTTTTGGGGAGAAGCATGGAAAGCCCAAGTTAATATTCGTTTAAAATGTGGTGGCAGTACTGAATTTAACATAAGGTGGCTACAATCAATACAGAAACATACTTAGAGCCTTAAGCATCTGGATGAAGGCTACAGATATGAACAAGTAAGCAGTGTTGCCAAACCTGCAGTGATACAAAGTAATTAAAATAATGTTAAAGAAACACCATGGTGCATTTGTGTTAGATTTCAGAAGCTAAAATATAATTTGTGTTCCAATAATAGCAGTGAATGAGGGATCCTTTTTACTTAAAAAGTGAGCATAAATAACAAGTAGAGCATGAATCCTCTGTCATCAATGAAGGTGAACGTCCTATTTAGGTCTCCATTGATACAATCCAGTAATCCACATAAAGTGATGAGCAATTAATATAGAGTTAAGTCAAGATCGTTGCCAAAAATTATAGCTACACTCTAAATTGAAAGGCCTTGGTAGAAGCCAATGAGTAAAGTTGTTCTACATATGACTTACTTAGGCACTTACCAAAGACTAGCTGCAAAGAAAGCACTGATAGGAATCACACATGTTGCATATCTGTGGATGCATGAATAAAAAGTAAATGCAAAGCATTACTAATATATTGACATAGATGTGGTTGTAAGTAGCAGCTATCTTACATTTCAAATGTCATCTTGACAGGTGACACAACCTACACGAGACCAAAAATTGAAAAGCACTAAGTTAATTCTGAGATACTGGAATGGAGGATATATAGAGTACTAGCATGATTTTCCAACTCTGTGAAGATCAACTATTTAAAAAAGGAAAGGCTGGCATAAAAAGACTCATCTACAATGATGAAAATTAATTGCTAACTCATTGTTGACCAATGAATCAGTAAACTGATTAATAGCCAAACTATCCTACAGTGAAATTTGAGTAGCATGAAAAACACACAAGAAACTAAATCTACAAACCAAACTGTCCAACAACTATCTTCTACACTCTATAAACTGACACACATGAATGTTCCTAGTATGAAAGCCTGCGTCAGTATGCCTATAACTGCCGTATATTGATAAATAGGTGAACTTAGGTAAACATAGAGTAACATAAAATAGGAACATCAAAATGATCAAATAAGAGCCTGTGGCAGTATGCCTATAACTGCCTTATATTGATACTATACATGAAAAGGAACTTTGAGCTGCTAGAAAGCTGTTGAAATAGGCATTCCTCAAGACTTTATATTCTTATGGAGTCCGTCTTATGTTCAGTGGCTTGAAAAATAAGCCAATCCAATAAGAACTCTAAAAGGAAATATAGTTGATATTCAGAACTACCATACCTTGAAAACACGGATGAGAAAGAATGCTACTAAGCCTGAAAATCCCATGTGAATCATGGTGAGCGTTATAGGAAGTGGGAAATTGAAATATTTTGGTGATAGCACCCACTGCAAACAAACAAAACAGCACACAGAAATCATAATGAGCTCATTAGATCATTTCAGAAAAATAGAATATCTACATACAAGTAGAATAAAGAAAGTAGCAACAGCCAGAGGCCCAGAAGACATGCCCAGTGCAAAGATTGGAATGAACCAATTTGATAGAAGATAGCAAGGTTGTCTAGATTAACTTCAAAAATGGTATATGCAACTGGAATTTAAAATGTAGAAAGATGCAGGAAAATAAAATCGGGGCTGAAATTCTCGTCTTATAGTAAAAAACTAGCAGGTGAATTAGATGGAAATAAACATACAATGCACACCAAACTAAACTAGTTTGCACAGTCAATACACCACAGGAGTAAGAATGGTTATGCAAAAAAACGAGTGCTGCCTTCTGTGTGGACAGAATCCAGTCATACCAACTTCGTATTGCTTTCAATTTAAATTCCGATTATGCTACATTTTTTACGCCACGTTTAGGAAAGAGAGAAAGAGGTATCTTAAGGTCTGGCTTTGCAGGGGGCTTGCCATGTTTCCATTAATACAATCATAAAATATCCCAATAGGCTCTATTAACTCTATTGCAATATCAAATGTGAGCTAAATATTGAGAGAAATGAAAAGGCATTGCTGAAATGAAGTACGAAGCAGGTGGAGCATACCTTGTTGTACAAAATAACGCCAGAGGATAGCAAAATGTAAATAAGGAGATACAGATATGTCAGAAGAAGCTGTTTGCTGATCATCATGTCCGGATACCAATGGAGCAATGACACGCCAAACCTGGGTGAAATGGCGTGGCGGACACTCCAGCTGGAATCTGGTTGACCGGGAACGGTGTCAAAGGTCTCGGAGAAGGCCGGGATAAGTCTGCATACGACGGGGATAAGAACACGGTCAGGTACTGCTACGAGATAGAGGGACTGAGTTCAGAGAGGCATGGGGAGAGGCGGAGCAGACGGGGGCAGAGCGTCGGGTTGGAAGATATGAGGAGGGGGTGAATTCGGTGATGATGGACTTGTTTCTGCAGAATGTGGGGAGGGACGCCCGGCGATGGAAGCTCCACACTGGTCAGAAGCGGTAGATAAATGGTGAGATCTGTTCTGTTTGGTAGATTTTGGGGAGGAGTTTATTTTCAGATCTTTTGGCACTAGGGTTCCCTTTATTTTTTCTGCAACCTTTCCTTATTGACACTTACTAGGATTATTTTGTTCAAAACTATTAATTATAAAATGAAAAATAAAAATGTATAACCAAAAACCAACTTATTACTGCAAAATGCAGAAATGCTAGTATCTCACCCAATGCAAGAAGGAGTACTTTGTTCAAAAAATATTAATAACAAAATGCAATATAAAAATTTATAATAATAAATCAACTTATTTTTGCAGATCATAAAATCATCATACAGATGAGGTACTAATAAAAAAGCAAACAAATTCATATGCAACAAAACAAAATTTCAATGAACCATAACATATACTATGTATACTTTATCGTCACGGCCTATATAGAGATAGTTAGAATCAAATAAAAAAAGTTTAACATAATATACACAAAGGGTGAATTAAAATGCATTTCCAACCACATAATTCTAAAGTGCTTTTGTATGATGAGCTTGTTCACTTTAAACATTTTGCAAATATGCACCCTGATACTAATACTCTACAGATTCGTAGAATATGCCACAAAATGTAACGAACTGAAATATGCACCCTCATCTCTTATTTAGAATATATGCTACAAAGTATAATTTAATTATACATTTAATCTATCTAAAATAAATAATTTTGCTAAAATATGTAGCCTCATGTATCTCTTTTAGAGCATCCTTAGTGGCTTAATTTCAAAGCCCTACTCCATCTCCTCCTCATCTTTATTAGCCTAAAACTCCTGCACTGAGTTTATCTTCATGGGTCATCAAGATTTATAATAACTTTTTTTGAAAAGATCTCACACTTGGATGATATCACTTTCTAAAACAGACCTTTTGTTCGATTTTAATTATATATTAAGAAAATCGTTTATTCTTTTGAAAACCAATTGACATACAAAAATAGTCTCATATTATGCCATAAATGAATTTAAGGTTTACCTCTTGATATTAAAATAATATATTCGGAAAACCCTTATGTTATGTTGCCCGTCATCAAACTTGGAATCCATTTTAGCTCAAGCTCTCAATCTGAAATTGAGTAAGTGAGATCAGTAGGGGACACATCTCAAGGCTGCTGAGGTGAACACTTTTTAAACAATAACAGCATTAAATAAGCTCCTCATAGATATTATTACAAACACATAGCTATCAAACTAAAAATGAGCGTGAAAATGAGATTAACCTTTACATTATAAGGATGTCTTTTGTAACACAAACAACATATTAAAAAAATTATAGCTATACGGTTATATATACCTAGTCCCAAAATGATCTGGCTGTAAGATGACACCGTAGCAAAAGCCCCAAACCTGAAGAACGCCTATTCATCATCTTCTTGTTCTTGAAGCACACAAGCGGCAGAGCCAGAGCCTAGAGATAGAGGCCGCCAATCATCCACTCACCTCGCCGACCTCCTCCTTGGTCTTCAACGTCTTTCCGGGACAAAGATTAACCAGGGGTGCGTGGTCGTCCATTGATGTCGATACAGTAGATGCGACACTTCTAGCGGTTGATTGCTTGATGTTTTGCCTCATACATGCCAACTCGCCGCCTAGAATCCAAAAACGCACGTGAAGTTCTTGCCCGTCGTGAGGTCATGCGGGTGGGATTGCTCTGCCGATTGTAGAAGAAATTGGACATATCCGGTCTCTTCAACTGCCGTGTAAATATTTTATAGTGGGTATATTTTAACCAAGAGTCAATAAGGATGTCTAGTTGGAATGGACAACTCTCTGACAGCCACAAAAAACATTATATATAATCTTTACCCGTCTCTCAGCCAATAGGCCCAAGATTTCTTAGCATCCAAAGCAATACTAATTCTTTGACCATGAATGCGACGTTTTTGGGCGGGAATATAGGCCAACATTCCACTTCGTTCTGTATATTACGAAGTATAAGATAAGATTCTGCTTCCGCTTGTGCTTCTTTTTTAAAGTAGAAGCATAATCAGTTTTCAGAAGTTGGTCTCTCTCACTTTAAAAAAAATGCTCCTACGAGTAAATTAGAGCAACTGAACTACTTATTCACTTTCAGCCAAACACACTAACTTCTGATTCTTTTTCTTGAATGAGCAGAAACCGTTTTAAGAATTAGATATAAACATCCCCAAATACTACATAAATTAAATAATTTTTCATAAAATTAAATTAAGTAGAAACGTTAACCAATTCCCTCGAGGTTATGTTTTTCTTTGGCCCTGTCTCTCAGATTCCGTCAAATTCCATCTCTGGTCTTCGCCGCTTCTACTTCTGAGTTCTGACCGTAGTATACACTCATAGAAACATCTCAGCACTCAGCCCTTTGCCCGTCTCGCTTTGTAGCCGCACTTGCCAGCAAAAGAAACGGTGGGAAGCGAAATGAAACGCAGAACGGCAGCCGTAGAACGGTGGAAGTGAACGGCGCCGCCCTATCCACCAAGCCCGATAAGACTAAGAGAACTGCGTTTTTTATTTCCAAACTGGCGAACCCGCAAGCATCAACTTCAAGCGGTCAGTCGTGGCCAATGGCTGCCGGCTCTCTACTGCTCCTCGTCCTAATTGTCGCTCATGTCATTGCTCTGGTACTTCAATCCTGTACAACACGCGCGCTCCTTCACACCGTTTTTCATACTTTCGTTTAGTGATTTTCCCTGTATTTCCTTTAATGCAGGTTTACTGGATTTTCCGCCTTGCAACTGAGAAGCAACCTCAAAGAACTAAGAGAAACTAGTTCTCCACATTTCTCGGTAATTGAGAAGCTACCCTGTTCTCCACTTTTTCATTGCAACCCTTACGGTAAAACGGAAAAAGGTGGATATTTTGCTCTATCCATTGCATTTTTAATTTTGGATGGTAGTTGAATTGAAATTCCAGAAAAGCATTTATTGTAATATACACTATCCACTAATAGTGGACATATTGGAACATTGCCCAATCACACACCTATTGCCACAGCTGTAGATATAGATATTGTGGAGCAGTTGATTCAGCAATTTCTCGTCTTCATCTATCTGGTGTTTCGTCCATTTTAAAAAAATGAAAATTGTAATACAAATCTGTTTTGGTTTTAATTTCAATAAAAAGATTTGGCCCAAATCAGCAATAAAGCACTAGACTCATTAAATAGGCCAGGTTGTTTATGTAAGTGCAATCCCCCGTTGGGGCAATGGTTAGTGGCTACTGAGAAATGCCATTCCTTGAGGGAGTTTAAAATACTTTGATATGAAATAGATGTTAAAAGACTCTTGTAGACTTGATAACATTGATACTGAAACTCTATTTACAGAGATGTATACCTTGAGGGAGCATAAAGAAATGGGTTTATTTTACTAAACTTATACATAGTTTTAATTAGTAACACAATAGTTCAAGTTTGCAGAATGTTACGATTCTTTGCATGTGTGAATGACCATGTCACCCTAAACTTGTTAAAACACAGGGAAATTATGTTTTCTTATTTGTTGGGGGTTCTCATGGCATGCTTTATACTTCATGTGAATTTGACAGACTATTTAAGACAGCATCATCTGAGCTCACAATCATACTCAATTAAATGATAGAGATAGGCCCCTATGCACATTGCCACATTCTTTGGTCAATAAGTTGCTTAACATAAGATTTGACAATGTGAGGCTCGGACTAATGCATGTTTGAGATGTATCAACAAGTGGATCACTGGAAGAAGGAAATGACCTAGGATATTAAACTTGGATGTTATTGTTAGTTAGCTATATAAAAACTTGCAAGGTTTATTTAGATATGTTTGACAGAGAATATTCACAATATGTTTTACAGTTTTAGCTACAAACTAGGTACTAAATAATAATGACTAATTTAGTCAAATTAACTCATAGATCTACTACTCCCTCTGTCCCGCAAAGAAGTTCCTAGTTTGACCTACACACATATTTATGTAAGGTAGAGTTTTGTTTTGACTTTCCAAGTATACCCTTACTTTATGTCAAATCAAACAAAAAGTGGGTAAAAGGTAAGGGTAATTGTGACTTTTTGGTTAAAAGTGTTTCCTTTTATAGAAATTAGGGTTGGGACTTGGAACCGTAAAACCGGGAAAACCGATCCGAACCGAACCGAAATATCCGGTTCGGTCCGGTTCCTATAATTTTGGACTTCAGCTTTTTTCGGTTCAGTTCCTATAGTATTTCATCGGTTCGGTTCCGGTTCGGTTCCAGTTCGGTTCCGGTTCCTAGACAGGAACCGAACTTCTTATACATTGCATGAGTAATCTTCATTTGAGGTGCTTTTGGGTGGAATTTTTTGATGAAATTTTGTGAGATTGTTGTTCATAAAATAATGATTATTTTCACCAAATTTGAGCTTAAAATGGAACCGGGAAGTCAGTTAAATAAATCATTGAAAAGCATTACGCCAAAATATATATAAAAACACAATGTTTTTCAACATTTTATTTAACTCACTTCCCGATTGCATTTTGAGCTAAAATTTGGTATATATAATCTACAATTCATGTGGAACACGTTCACAAAATTTTATCAAAAAATTCTACACGGAAGCACATCAAATGGAGGTGGCCAGACGGCGTTCCGGGCAGATATTTTTTGTCAAAAAAATTTGTTTTGCATAATATACCTTGTATATTGTGGATCAGGCCAATCTGAGTAGTTGTTATTTTAATACTTTAGTCCACTTTTATATTTACTGTTTTTTGTAATTGTATTTGTTATTGGAGTTAACCTCAAAAAGGAATTAATATTCTATTGATTACGTTATTTATTACTACGTACTTTTTACTTATTGTGCATTACTAGTAGAAGAATATTATTTTGGGGTTGAACTACCTGCTATTGGATGTGTACTGTGGAGCTATTGAACCTTTTTGCTTGACGGTTGATGCCTATTTTAAAACGAGATTTTTGTTAAGTTTAAATTTAATGTTGCACTTGCATTTTTTTTATATTTGAACATTGAGATATCATGCATGTATAATGTAATGGTCATAATTTCATGATTTAAAATTTGAATTTTTTTGTGTAACGGAAGGTAAAATGTGCTCATTTTAGGAGGATAATAAATTTTTATAAGGAACCGAAAAAATGTAAGAACCGAACCGAATTTGACTAGAACCGAACCGAATTTAACAACTACATTTTTAACTAGAACCGAACCGAATTTAACTTCTACAATTTTTATACGGTTCCATCGAATTTTAACAAGAACCGCACCGATCCCAGCCCTATTAGAAATGAGAACTTCTTTTTGGGACATCCATGAAAGGAAAGTGAGAACTTCTTTGCGGGACGGAGGTAGTATTACATTATGATTTCAACAAGGAAACAGATAATGATGTCTTTCCTTTACTGTGCTCAGGACACACAAAGAACTTTTCCTTCCCTGGGATTCTGTTCCTCAGAATGCTTCATATTACCCAATTTACTAAACAGGAAAATGCATGCATGAATAGCTCTGGGAAGTGAAAGTATTCACACACTTTACTGTTTGTCACAAGTGTATGATTTCTTTTAATGTGTGAATCAGGTTTATCAATGTTGATATGTAGGGATTTGTCAGGAAACAAATTGAGTGGTCAACTATATGCTTCAGTGAGGAATCTCTCCTTATTTTTTACATCGTATGTGTTTGTACTCTTTATCTGTTAATTACTATCATTTGTTTAAATACAAAGTGATATTTAAACTAATGGCATAAAATATTTAGAACATTATTATAAATAAAAATTAAAAATTATGTAGTATAATAATTTGATTTTCATATAATTTGAAACTATACACTTACATAAATGTCTAAATTTTTGAAACCAATACTCTGTTTTGTATTAATTTACCTTTGAATAATAAATGTTATATTGAAGTTAGTATGTGTGTGTATGATAAGTAATGATTCATGAAATGATGAAATAGTTATCTATAAAATATAGTACGGATACTGAGGTGGACACTGCCCCATGGTGAGCTGGGAGTGGATATAAGAAGCTCAAATCGGTGTAAAGTAGGTTGAGTAGTGGATCTAGGGTCCCCAAGCCAATTGAAGCTCCTATATTTTCGTTTTTTGACATAACAATCACTGTTAACTTCTTTATCGTATGGTTCATCTGGGAGTGGTTGAAACTTAGAATACCATGAACTGCCCACTGAAATTTTCTAATCACAAATCCTCCCATACGCAGGGGAGAAGATTGCAAAACCATGAGCGCCTTTACTGCATTATCTAGTTTAGCCATACTTGGTGATTCCTGTAAGATTACGCGTACAGCTAGACAAGAAATAAGACCGTTCTCTAGTACAACCACACAGAGAATTGAGGAAGATTATGGAGCAGATCGCGCTGCCTGGGGAGCTGCGGCTGAAGCAATCAGACAAGACAGAATATGCAATGGTAGTTACTTTACTGCTGGAGATGTACAGTTAAGAGGCCATTTATCCAAACCATTAATATGCACTGGACTGATGTCAAACAACAAGGTTGGCTGTGTAACATTATCTCCTGTCGTGCCTCTGCCAAATACATTGAAAGCAAAAGAAAAGAAGCCGGAGAAAACTTTTATGCCAGATGAAGGCATTTCAACTCAGAAAACAGAAAGCAACTTTGCTGATTTGGTTGGATCAGACCAATCTCAGCTGGAAAAAGTCACTGCCTCTGAAAAGAGCATTACCGAGGACAACCATTGTGAGAGGTTGCCAGATGAAGGCATTCCAACTCAGAAAACAGAAAGCAACTTTGCTGATTTGGTTGGATCAGACCAGTCTCAGCTGGAAAAAGTCACTGCCTCAGAAAAGAGCATTACCGAGGACAATGTTTGTGAGAGGTTGCCAGATGAAGGTATTCCAACTCAGAAAACAGAAAGCAACTTTGCTGATTTGGTTGGATCAGACCAGTCTCAGCTGGAAAAAGTTACTGTCTCAGAAAAGAGCATTACCAAGGACAACCTTCGTGAGAGGTTGGTTTCCATTTATGAGAAAGTTTTCATAGTCAACAACATCTCACTCGCCAAGGAAGTTGTCAGTAAGCTTACAAATGAGTACAGGGATTCAATCCACGCATGTGATACTGAGGCATGTGTGCTGCTTGTTTTGCATCAATGTTCCCCCCCCCCCCCCCCCCCCCCACACACACACAATTATATGCAGAAAAGAGTTTTTTTTGTAAATATATCAAAATGTGCTGTCTGTGAAGTTGACTATGTTTTGTCCCACGTAGAAAACATAAAAAATATGCTAGTAACTATATCTGAGTTTATTCATCAGTTTGCAAACAATTAATAGGTAGCAAAGATTGATGTCAAGAATGAGACACCAGTTGGTCATGGAGAAATCATATGTTTCAGCATTTATTCTGGACCTCAAGCTGATTTTGGAAATGGAAGATCTTGTGTCTGGATTGATGTCCTTGATGGTGGCGGGAAGGACATTTTAGTAGAATTTGCCCCCTTTTTCGAAGACCCGTCAATTAAAAAGGTATAATCTGGATAATTGGTAGCTCTCTCAGATTTCTTAAATGGATCTTGTTGTCTAACATGATCTGCTTACATTTTGTCCTCTTGGTTTTTATGGAAAACATTCTACTTTTAGTCTCACAACAATTAAGTAATTCCCACTTCTGGTCCCTTAGTTTCATTTATTTCACATTTGGTGCAAGAATATGAATTCTTACCACTTTTGGCCTTTCCAGTAAGGGCGGTAACCATTAGCAAAAAGTAACATAAAATTGTATGTAAATTGGCTGGATATATGGTCAGAAGGAACAAAAGTTCAAGAATTTATAGTTTTGCACTGAAAGCCGAGAACATGGAAGCCGGTGGCCAAAAATGGGATTGACCATTTGGCCAAATAGTTGTGCAACTAAAAGTTGATTTTTTTAAACCTAATTGTAAGTAGGAATATCCTTTTACCATATTTCACTGTTAGCACTTGTGCAGTTGAATGAAAAAGTGACTCATGCTTTTCATAGGTATGGCACAACTATAGCTTTGATTGTCACATAATAGAGAACTATGGTCTCAAAGTGTCTGGGTTTTATGCTGATACAATGCACATGGCACGATTATGGGATTCCTCTAGACGAACAGGGGGAGGCTATTCTCTTGAGGCACTTACAAGTGATACCTCTGTCATGCATGATGCAAGAGTGCCCCCTGGTGAACAACTGTTTGGTAAGGTGTCAATGAAAACTATTTTTGGCAGGAAAGAGCTGAAGAAGGATGGAACTGAGGGTAAAGTTGATATCATTCCATCTGTTGAGGAGCTGCAAAGAGTGCCCCCTGGTGAAAAACTGTTTGGTAAGGTGTCAATGAAAACTATTTTTGGCAGGAAAAAGCTGAAGAAGGATGGAACTGAGGGTAAAGTTGATATCATTCCATCTGTTGAGGAGCTGCAAAGAGAAAATCACAAACTATGGGTTTCTTACTCTGCATTTGATTCTATAAGTACATTTATGCTTTATGATAGTTTGAAAACCAAACTCTCTAAATGCTCCTGGAAGCTTGATGGAGTTTATAAAGGGACCATGCTAAACTTTTATGAGAGATACTGGCTTCCATTTGGTGAGCTTTTAGTTCATATGGAAACTGAGGGCGTGCTTGTTGATCGTTCTTATCTTGCTGAGTTGCAGAAAGTGGCCCAAGCCGAGCAGGAGATATCATCTATCAGATTTCGCAACTGGGCATCCAAGTACTGCCCTGATGCAAAATACATGAATGTGGGCAGTGATACTCAGTTGCGCCAGCTCTTTTTTGGAGGCATTCTGAACAGGTATGGGCCTTCATGAAAATATATAAAACTGTTGATAACAGAGTATGTGACTGACCTGTTGGGTGATGTTATTTGGATGAAATTGCTGAATATTCTGAAAGAAATTGTGTTCAGTAAAATCCATTTCAGCCAAATAATAAAGTTAAAAGCTCTAATTATTATGCTTGACTTTTCTGGTTATATGCTGATGAGCAGCATAAGCCAAATGACGCTACCAAACATAAACCTTCTATTCATTTTTTTCCCTTTAGGTGTTAGTTGACCTTGTATTAAATTCTCTTTTTCTTTTTCGTCTTCTCTTGTCTTGTTCTCATCCCTTTCACATACAGGAAGGACCCTAATCAGACTCTTGACATTGAGAAGGATTTCAAAGTTCTCAATGCAGATAATATAATTGAAAAAGACAAGAAAGCTCCAACAAAGTATTGTAAGATCACACTTCATAAGATTGGTGATTGCATTGAGACTGATTTCTATACTGCTAGTGGTTGGCCATCTGTTAGTGGAGATGCTTTAAAGGCTCTTGCTGGTAAAGTTTCTGCTGATTTTCAAATCATGAGCGAAGCAGAAGACAAAGAGGAGGAAGTCTCCTTTCCAAACAGTGACGAATCTCCCGGGCTTCATAATGAAGCATGTAAGGAGCCAGAAGCTTCAGGGTATGGAACAGCTTATAATGCTTTTGGAGGTGGAAAAGAAGGAATAGAGGCATGTCATGCCATTGCCTCTTTATGTCAAATATGCTCCATTGACTCTCTAATATCAAATTTCATCATCCCTTTGCAGGTGATTTTCTTTGGTACTAATTTATCATTGTGCCAAGAAAAAAGGGGAAGTTTGAGTTTGCATCCCATGTTTACTTCGAATTGGACTTCACACCCCATTTTTGAATGCTTTTAGTTTGCACCCCAATGCCCCAGAAGTGGTTATTTTTAAGAAATTGCCCCAAATAGGTGCAAGTATTGTCATACTTCCGTAGTGAAATCATATTTCCATTTTTCTATTGCCTGATAATACCATAATATTGCAAATTTGAAATATAATTTCAGGATGACAGTACAGTACTCCTATTTAGGGGGGAAACATAGTCCTCGTATTTAGTGAAAACCCTTGCTTTTACTCCTATTTTGAGAAATTTGTACGGCAGTCGTACTCGATAATTTAGATTAATGATTGACTTTGCAACCCATATATGATTCTATAAATTGAAGTGATTGATTCTTGGTGCCGTTTTCTCTCTTCAAGGGAGGGGCGGTTTCAGGGAAGGATGGGCGCATCCATTGTTCACTGAACATAAATACAGAAACTGGGCGCTTGTCAGCAAGGAGACCAAATTTGCAGGTATTACGTGCATCAGATTCCAATCTTATTGGATTACTGTTTTTATTGTTGTTTACGCAAAAGACCTTAGTGCGCATTTTGAATTTGATATATCCTGCATGAGTTTCCTGCAAGTTAATGAAGTATGCCTTATTGGGGGAGGGGAGAGGGCTCAACAACCATGCGTTGAGTTTCTGTTAACTCTTCAAAATGTTTTCTAACAATAAATATCCTTCAATTTATATCCCAATAATCTCATCTCATAGTGTGAATTGGCAATACCAAAAAACACATTTCTCTTGGAATCCAGTATCTATTTCTACTTATGCAAGTACTAAATATATTTTCTTGTAATGCAGAACCAGCCAGCTTTGGAAAAAGACAGGTATAGAATTCGTCAAGCATTTATAACTTCACCTGGGAATTCCTTAATTGTTGCGGACTATGGGCAGGTAAGCAATCATATTGTCCTTTTAATATGATTGTATTAAAATTGTATTTTCCTTTTTGTTCCACTATCATTTACTTTTTCCTTCTGTTTAATAGTGTGTTTAATAGTACAAAATTGTATTATCCTTTTTGTTCCACTATGATTTACTTTTTCCTTCTGTTACCTAGTTGGAGCTTAGGATTCTTGCACATCTTGCAAATTGTAAGAGCATGTTAGCTGCCTTTGAAGCTGGGGGAGACTTCCATTCGAGAACAGCTTTAAATATGTATTCGCACATACGAGAAGCAGTTGATCAAAAACGTGTTCTACTTGAGTGGCACCCTCAGCCTGGTGAAGATATGCCACCAGTTCCACTACTAAAGGTTGGTACAAAAAGTTTGGTTTTTCTTTTACTCTGGGGCATTTTCAATTCTTGTCTGTTCTATCTTCTATGATCTGCACTCTCTCGTTTTTGGATGAGATAGAATGCACTGTATTGACATGATATGTGGTTCCAAATCTCACACTTACGTCCTTATTGTTGGAGATAAAATCTAGAATATTGTAGTGATGTTATGGCTGGATAGAGAAAGTGGCAGTAGGGATGGACTAAACCGGCCCGGCCCGGCCCGGCCCGGCCCGCTACTGTGCGGGCCCAGACCGGACCGGACCGGGACCGGTTGGCCGGTTCCGGGCTTTTAGCCCGTTTGGGCGGGTCGGGCGGGCCGGGCTCGGGCCCAGTTTTGGGCGAACCGGCCCGGGTGGTTCGGACCGGGCCCGGGTCATTTTTTTTTCAATTTGTTTTTCTTTTCCTAGGATAGGGCTGGGTGTTTTGGGGAGGTTTGGGGGTGGGGGTGGGGGGGGGTCAGGGGATAACAAGAAAGCAAAAAAAAAAATAGACATTGAACCGGGCCCGGCCCGGACCCGGTATCAACCCGGGCCCGGCCCGGACCCGGTATCAACCCGGGCCCGGCCCGGACCCGGTATCAACCCGGGCCGGTTCCGGGCCCAAGGATTTGCAAAAAAGCCCGCCCGGCCCGGGTCCATCCCTACGTGCTCACGATGTCCAAAAGCAGTTTAGCTACACCAACATATAAATTTATAATATACTAGTATAAATTTGATTGTGATTTATGATAGTTGTACTCTACGAATATCATATGTACCAAACCAAAATTAAAAAGTTATACATTGGTCAAATATGACTATTTTTATTTTGACGTAGTTAGCACTTACTAATGGTTATAATTTTTGAGAGGGATGGCCATCGAGAAGTACTTCGATGGGTTGTATTCTTTAGTGTGCATTTTTGTTCAGGATTCTTGAATCTTGACAGTGGTAGTATTATGGTGATATTTACTATCATATTATCGTTATTATTATTCTAATCGTCTCAGGATGCTTTTGCCTCTGAAAGAAGAAAAGCAAAGATGCTTAATTTTTCTATTGCTTATGGAAAAACTACCGTGGGGCTTGCTCGGGATTGGAAGGTATCCAGCCTTCTTAATAGCACGAAGAGGGATGTATTTTTCTTCTTGATGTGGTTTGTGCCACTGGATTAACGCCAACCAAACATACACAGGTATCCGTCAAGGAAGCCAAAGAAACAGTAGATCGGTGGTATAGTGACAGAAAGGAAGTTTTAACTTGGCAAGAACAACGTAAATCTGAGGCACACCAGTTTGGACGTGTTTACACACTGTTAGGAAGGACACGCATGTTCCCTTCACTTGAACATGCAACCAATGCTTTTAAAGGCCACATTGAAAGAGCTGCCATCAATACTCCTGTCCAGGTTTGTGTTTGCCATTTTTACCTTCAGAAGGAAGGATGTGAGGGGAGGAGAAATGTTGAGGAAAACGATGTGCATATCATCAAAAAGTTGTGTTTGGTTCAGTGGAGTGATGATGAATAATTTTTTAGAAATGTTATTTTAAAATAGTATTTTATTTAATATTTGTTTTATTTAACAATAACAATTATAGTAATCTTTTCTACATGCACTACCTCTTTCTTACTTCCACAGGGAAGTGCTGCAGATGTTGCAATGTGTGCCATGCTAGAAATATCAAAGAACCAACGGTTGAATGAGCTTGGCTGGAAACTGCTTTTACAGGTTTCCATTACCCTTTAAAGTAAAGAGAGCTCTTAGGGTTCGTTTGGAACACGGAACATGTCTGGAATGTGTTAGCGAGGAAAAATTTAAAAAGAATTTAAACGGGAGAATAATAATATATTTATAAAGTTATTTTTATTTATTTAGTGTTCTGTTATAAGACAAAAAAGTGTATATATGTAAAGTTTCAAAGAAGATTTTAATCAAATTATATTTTCTTCCTATTTCTAGCATAGGAGCCATTATTACCATTTTACTAATATTTTCCCCATTTCTTACCATTTTACTCTCAATGTAACATGATTGAATAGTTGCTATGTATAATCATCAATGTTTTATTACACGCAGATTGATTCATACAGATTATTAGAAACTTAAATCGATTTCACGCCTATGTTTTGGGTTTGATGTTTTGCTTCAATAATATGTGTGATTAGGTTCATGATGAAGTAATTCTTGAAGGGCCGACCGAATCAGCTGAGGAAGCAAAGGGTATTGTAGTTGATTGTATGTCCAAACCGTTCGATGGAAAGAATATTCTAAGAGTTGGACTATCTGTTGATGCTAAATGTGCTCAAAATTGGTATTCTGCCAAATAGTGTTGTTTCTCTATAGCCCAAATGTTTTTGCATTCAAGCACAGTAATATGAAAATGAGAATTCTATATTGGTAATGTTAAATTTTATCACATCAAGTTAGTAGCATGTGGTTAATTAAATATATATTAATGATATCATCTATTTTTTAAAATAAGCAAGTTATTGCTTACAATTAATAATTATATAACCTAACTTGCAAATTACAGTTATGTAAGAAAATGAACGTAGGTGGCCTAGTTTTTAAATTGCTTTAGTTAATCAAATATGGTGACGGCAAACTGTTTATTAATTGATCATTATTTATTAGATATATTTATCAATCGAGTGATTAGAGCACCTATAATGTCTAGCTAAACACTAAAACACATGGTACCTTTGCTTGCGACACTGGTTTTTTTAGTCAATTCATTTTCTAGCAATGTGATATTCAATGATTACCTACAATGATTACCTCTTGAATAGGGTTCACAAATCAATCAATCTTGAAAATACACATTTTGAATGAATTGATTTATTAATATAATAAAAATAATACTATTTTGAAATATTTTCAATTTGGGAGAATGTAAATGATATTTTTAAACCCATAAATTATCAGTGTTTTTATTATTACGAGCATAATTTGAACATGCATATATTTAAATTTAGTACAAAATATGTATTTTTGTTAAGTAAAAAACAAGTGATAAGTTTTTTAAAACATTTTTTAAAATCGACAAATCATTAAATAAAATAAACATACTAAATTAAACAATATCAATTCAAATTTTGTAATTGTTATTTTAATTCAAATTTATCTCCTTTCTAACAAGTAGCTTGTTATGATAAAAAAACAAGTAACTTGTTTTGACTAATTTGCTTGACCAAGTTAATAGGTAAGATGCACTCCGGTGTAAAAGCAAACAAGTCCCTAAAAGTAACCATTGGAAATGCTTTTAAGCGTTTATTTTGTTTATATTTAAATTTAGTACAAAATATGTATTTTTGTTAAGTAAAAAACAAGTGATGAGTTTTTTAAAACATTTTTTAAAATCGACAAAGCATTAAATAAAATAAACATACTAAATTAAACAATATCAATTCAAATTTTGTAATTGTTATTTTAATTCAAATTTATCTCCTTTCAAACGAGTAGCTTGTTATGATAAAAAAACAAGTAACTTGTTTTGACTAATTTGCTTCACCAAGTTAAAAGGTAAGATGCACTCCAGTGTAAAAGCAAACAAGTCCCTAAAAGTAACCATTGGAAATGCTTTTAAGCGTTTATTTTGTTTATTTTTGAATGTTTATTAAAATCACATCCTTTTGTAGTGAGTCATAACTACCCATTAAATTGTTGGCCTGACGGTAGGGATGGACTCGGGCCGGGTGGCCCGACCCGGAACCGGCTCGGGACCGGTACTGTTCCGGTCCGGCCCGACCTAGTGGCCCGGTCAGTGACCGGTCCGGGTAGGCTCGGCCCGTGGGTTTTCCGGTCCGGGCTCGGGTCACCCAAAACAAGACCCGACCCGGTTGGGCCCGGGCCCGGTTCGGGCCAAAAACTATTTTTTTTCAATTTTTTTAAATTTTCGGGTTGGGCTGGGTATTTTGGGCCATTTGGGGTGGTTTGGGGGTTGGGGGTGGGAGGGGGGTTAATTAGGAAGAGGAAAACAAAAAAAATGATAATGGGCCCGGCCCGGACCTGGACCGGACCCGGTGGTTACCCGGGCCCGGACCTGGACCGGACCCAGTGGTTACCTGGGCCGGTCCCGGGTCCACCATTTCTGAACCGCCGGCCCGCCCGGGCCTAGGCCCGACCCGGACCCGGCCCGGACCCGAGTCCATCCATACCTGACGGTCTTCAATTATGGTCTGCAAATTTAATTCCGGAGAGTTTTATTGCTGGCTCGATTTCCGGGATCTCTTTCCAGATCGACTAATACGGACTATGTACAGTTCGTATACCGTGGGATCATCCCACGGTGAGCACCATGCTCCAGGGTAAAAAACAACGTAGTTTAATTCATTTTTTTTAAAAAAACATTCGCGTGTAGTACACGCGTGAACAGTACGCATGTGTACAGTAACTATTTTTTTTTTCTTTTTATTCCAGTAGCATGAATGATGTAACTCGCGTGTAAACAAATGTAACCCACGTTAATAAAAAATGTTACTGCAGGCAAGTCGAAATGTAACTTGTCTAAACAATAAAAAAGGAGTATACTTTCTTATTTACTTTACCTAAATAGTAAAAAAAAAATTATACTAAGACCACAAAATATTTTAAAGAAATCATTTTCTCCCAAAAAATCATTTTTCGCAAAGGAAAATTGATTTAAAAAAGGTTTTTTATTCAATAAAAGTGGTTTATTTTGTGTATGAAATAAAATATACTTATTTTATGTGGATTAATAAAATTTTGTAATAAATTGGTAATTAAAAAATTAATTCAGTTGTAATTTAATTAGTTAAAAATAAACACACTACAACAAAATTGACATTTTGCAACACTTTATTGTGCAACACCTGTTTTTGTGTTACATATAACATTTTGAGGTAAAATAATGCAACACTTTTTATAAGTATTGCATAAACGTTTAAATTATAAAAATATGCAACACTTAATTGTAAGTATTGCATATGCTTAACTTTTATGCAACATTCTATCAAAAAAAAATTATGTAACATTTATTCGTAAAATATTTCATTAACTAATAACTATAGTTATGAACCGTAAGTATTTACCTATCAAATAAAGTTAGTGTTGCCTTTTTATTATAGTTTACATTGTAATCATGTAACTAACTTTAACTATAATAATAATAATAATAATAGTAATAAAAGTAATAATAATAGTAATAGTAATAGTAATAATATAAGTAATAAATTATATCTGAGTTTTTACGATCTGATAAGAATGTTTCTGATCTGATTTGAATGTTTCTGATCCGATATTAATCATTCTGGTCTGATATGAATTTTTATGATGTGATCTGATATGATTTGAACTGAATTTTTCCGAAATGATCTTATCTGAATAAAAAATGACACAAAATAAAAAAATGACACAAAATAAAATAAAAAAAAAGTCACAAAAGAAAAACTAGCCTAATACGTAAAGACTCCAAACTTTATGTGCTCCTTAGTCTGGTACTAAGAATCTTATTCATAGGAGTACCAAATACTACTCCGTAGTCCGTAATACCCTAGCGGCTAACAAAGCGAGAGAGTCAGAGACGAGGGAAGACCGGGCGGCAACCTGAGGCGAAGCTTACCCTACGGACACCTGAGCCGGCCATCTCGCCACCGCCGCCTATCACCGTCCCTTCATTTCCTTCTTCTCCCCCCTGTTTCCAATCAGCTCCCTAGCTCCCACCATATCTTAATCGGTAAATATGCTTCTTATTCTCTGTATTTGATATTTCAATATTTTTTCACCAAAAGTTGAATTTCGTGTATACATTTGTACAGGGTTTCCTGAAATGCTTGGAATTTGTGATGGATTTTGATGAGTTTTAGTTTAGAAGTTCTTAGCTTTATAATGTTTATAAAGTGTTTGACAAAATGTCTCAGTGAGGTTTTGAATTTAGGTCGTTCTCTTGAATCCCTCCCTACTCGTGATTAGAAATCCTTTACACATGTACAATGTTTAATAAGATGTTTGAAACCTTATGTTTTCTTGAAGAATTAGAAGACTAGAAGATCATAGTTGAATTGTTCAAGAGAAAGACTTGACATGCTCTTCTAAAAGTTAGTTTTTTTATAATTTACTGCTACTTTATACAGAGTATTATGTCATTAGAAGTTTTATGTTTTCAAAAAGTGAAAATTATATATGCACTATAAATTGGATAGTAATTAACTTTCTATGTTTAATTAGCACATGAAAAGGCATGTAAAAAGTTTATCTTCTAAATATTTGTGAAGAAACACATTACACCTCAACCAAAAATATCTCTTCTTTTAACTGAATCTGTTGTTATTTTCATTTTCTAATAGGTTTTTAATTTGCTCTGGATTCAAATTTAGCGCCCTAATTCCACAAATGGGAGTTTCCCAGTCACCATGTACATATTATTCTTGAATTAAATATCATAATTTTATAATTCATTTTTTGCTAATTAGCCTAATCATTTATCTAGTATGGTGTTATAGTCTTGTAAATAACCTTGATAAATTTAATCAAAACTTGTGTCCATTTTTTGCTCGGTGCCTAATGTTATTAGCTTAATATTTACATTTCAGACTATTATCAATTAATGATCATCTTTGACACTATAAATTGGTGCAGGACACTGTCGTGCCTCAATTATTTTTAGGTTGTGATGAAGATGAGTGGTACAGACCGAAAGAGATTCCAGAAAAGTATTTTTGAATGTTGGTAAAGTTGTAGAATTGTACCAGATCTATTAAATGAAGTATGATACATAAGTTCATTGCTATACATTTTAATTATATTCTTTCACTAGTGCATATTCTAAATACATGTCAATCTTCAATTCAGGAGCAGTAAGCTTAGTAACAAGAGTAACTTCAGTTTTTGGGAGATAACCAAACTACTAGTTGGGTGTTTTATGCGAGAATTCGTGTGAAGTTGGTATGCTATTTATTTCGTCTAATTAGTTTTCTTTGTTTTTTAATTGCAGTTTTGATATTTGTTTCAGGAATCTACCCTTCCAAATGTTAGTGGCATACCCTTATCAATAATGTATTAATTAATGCGTGAAAGAACATAGAAACGTCTTATAAAGAGACTACCACAAAATCTGTAAGTGTTACATTTTATTTTATTTTTATTAATTGTTTGGATGTTTTTTTATTTCGGAGTGGATGGTTTGTTGGATATACAATTGAAATAGGTTTTCTGAAGTTTAATTTCTTGACATGAAAAATCTGTTTTGTTGTCTGCACTACAGCAGTAAGAGTCATAGTCTCAACGGGATAACTCCCAAATGAAATCATATATTTCATGCCTCCTTTTTTCTATCAATTTTTTTGCAGAATTTGGAATTCATCGCCCAGATTTTACACCGGACTGATTTACACTACAACTCTTGTTTAACTTTGCTCAAGGGTATTTATATCAATATAGACCAGGTATAGACATTTTAGCTATATTGTGTTATTCTAGATTAAATATAACAAATTTTCCAGAG